AAGGTGAATGGGTGTCTGGAAAAAGTTCTCTCTGAGAGGGAAGGATGTCATCATAAAGTCAGTGGATCAAGCTATACCGGTATACTCCATGTCGTGTTGCAATCTCCCTAGAAGGTTATGCCAAGATATTAATTCTTTGATACACAAGTTCTGGTGGGGAAGCAAAGAGGGAGAGAGGAAGACTGCATGAGTCTCATGGGAGGTGATGAATAGGCCAAAATGTCAGGGAAGCCTTGGCTTTTGAGATATCGAGCTCTTTAAATTAGCCTTGCCAGCACGTCAAGGTTAGCGTTTGCTCTAGGAGCCCGGTTCTTTGAGTGCAAGGATTCTTAAAGCAAGGTATTTCCCAAACTGTGCTTTATTGGAAGCTAGTGTTGGCAATGCACCGTCCCAAATATAGCAAGTGATTCTAGATGGAAGGGATGTGATGATCCAGGGGCTCATCAGGAGAATAGGAGATGGAAGGACCGCAGACATTTGGGCACTAAACTGGATGAGGGCACATGCGATGAGACCATTGGCTTGCTTATCTAATACTCCCTCCGTCTCAAAATAAGTGTCTCAACTTTGTACTAGCTCTAATACAAATTTGTACTCAGCTCAAGAAACTTATTTTGAGACGGGGGGAGTAATTTGCCACTCCTGGTAAGTGACTTGACGGTGCCCAACATGGCCACTTGGAACAGGGAACTAATCACGAGCACTTTTATCAAGGCTGACGCAGATGTCATTTTGGCTATTCCCATCTGCACGCGGCAACTTGATGATTTTTGTGCATGGAATCCTGAGAGAAATGGCATGTTTTCAGTTAGATCTGCTTATAGGATGCTCGTGGAGACGAAGTTGACGAGGGAGGCTTGGCTCGAGGGCCGTTCTGAATCCTCCAATACTGAAGCTGAAGCAAAGCTCGTGGTGTTTTTTTTGGAGAGTATGCAAATTGCATACCTTAGGTTTATAGAAGAGAGAGATAAATGTACAAGAGATATGAGCCACCAACAGCCACAAGCCAGCCGAGGCAAGCACAGCACTCCAACTCCAACACTAGGTACTAACTACTCACAAAAGGTCACTCACTCCTCTCCCTCCTGCTAGCCCGGCCCCCACAAGCAAGCTCGTGGTGTAACAAGTGGAAAGTCAAGGTCCCTTCAAAAATACTGATATTCATATGACGTTTTGCACGACAATATCTCCCAACTTCAGATGTGGTACATCACCGTAACATGACCCCGGTAAATAACTGCAGATTGTGCGGCGTCGAGGACTCAGTGGCATCACTCGCTCCTTGAGTGTACGATGTCGCGGTGTGTTTGGGTACTTGCTGACCCAGACTTGGTTCAGGCGATACTCAAAAGATAGGACTAGAGTATGCAGCGGTCATTACCATCGCTGGTATTCATGACCCACGCCATCTTTGGCTCCTTCAGCCTCCACACATCAATTGTATTCACATGAACGTTATTTTGAATCAATACAGTGGAGTGTGTTTAGCCTAAAAAAAAGTCGCCGAATCATTCTCAACGACAAAGTGGTCTTCGTTGCCTGAAAAAGGAAGAAGACAAAGTTGTCTTCAGACAACTGGACCGCCAAATTCAAACCCAGGACACAAGCCCCTTGCCTCCACAGCTTCTCCTCCACATTTGCACACTGACAGAGCTTCTTCTGTCTGTTCATGGTGGTCGCGCATCACGGCACCCGCCCGCACTCGCCCGCTCTAAAACCGGCATCAACACTGACCTTGAGCTTGAGACAGCCTGCTTGCTCAAATGCAGGTTTCTTTCCTTTCACATCGAGGTTCCATGTTGAGGACATTTGAGATTTTGGCTTAGCAGCAATGGAGGAATTGGAAGGCAGGGTGTCGATTTCTTCAGACAAGAGCATGAAAGTGTCGATTTCTTCAGAAGATGCTGTCTGATTGTTCCTGAGAAGGAGATGTCTGCCAGGTTTTGGGTATATAAAAAAAAGGCTGTTGGCTGCCTCTTCTGGTATTTGGGACTGCTTAAGCAAATGACAATCTTCGCTTGCTTGCCCGTCATTATGGCCTGCACGGTTGAGTTGCTTGTTAGTTAGGTAGTTACAGAAAGCACAATCTCTCCATATGTGATCAAAATGAAGTAGATCTGAACTATTTAGACCTGGCCTTGATATTTCCACAATGCTGCAGCCACAGCGTGGCCCCCTTCGAAATATTTCCTGCAAGGCTGCAACAATTTGATGGACTACGCTCAAACGCAAAGAAAAGAAAAAATAAACCTTGATTGAATACGCTGGAGATACTAATTTAATATTACCTCCGCACCAAATTAGTTTGAAACTTTACATTTCCACCCGGCTACGCCGACATGTCCCCCCGACCCCCGAGTCGCTCCCGCGAGCGTCCTCGGGGGAAACCCTAGCCGCCGCCCCTCGTCCTCCCCGTCGATCTCTCTCCCCCCGCCGCCACCGCACAGCGCCACCGGGCATAGACCGGCCGGCGTTGGTGGCGGCGGGGATCTTGCCCCTCTTCTCGCGTTTGGCGTCCGGCGCGGGACGGCGCGGCGCGGGCCGGCGCTGGGCTGGGCGGGGCCTAGCGGCACGGCGGAGGGCGTGCTGGGTGGCGGCGGTTCTGCCTGGCGGCGGTGCAGCTGCGGCTTCAGGCCTCTCCAACGCGCGGCGGCTGTGGCTTCTCTGGCGGCGGTGCGAGTTCCCGGCGGCAGCTTGGCGGCGTGGCGCGGCGGAGCTCCGGCGAGGATTCGGCGGCGGGCTGGAGGGCTAGGCACCGTCCAGTGGTGCTGCCTCCGCGGCGGTTGCGGCTTGGGGCCCTGGACCCCGATCCGATCTGGATCTGGTGGTGCCGGGGTCTGGGCCATGACGGCTGGCGAGGCATGGGATTCGTCGGGGCTTGTCGGTCTCTAGGCACCATGGGGGTGCCGGCGGCGACGTGTGCCCGGCGTGGTGAGACTGCTGGACGTGGTGGTCATCTTCTTCCCGAGATGGCCGACCAGTGGCTTGGTGATCAGATCTCATGATCCATCATCTTGTCCCGGCTGCGAGTAGGGGAGACATAGTTGCCGGTGAAAACCGAGCCGACGGCAGGCGATGGCGGCGTTCTCGCCGTTACCTTGATGAAGGCATCGTCGTGTAACTATTGTCGACCCACTCGTGCTGCTCCGGGGGAAACCCTAGGATCTGGTGTTCCAGATCGGACGATGGCGGCAGTGCAGTGTCGTTTCTCTCTTGGGAGCATCGTTTGCGGAGCAGCGCTGGATGTCAGAGGCAGGAGGTGGAGCGGCTTCGTCTTGCACGGAGCTTCGGGGGTGATGTCAAGTCATGCCTGACCGACAGGTGCTACGCTTTGTCATGCCTGGTCGGCAGGTGCTACGCACGACAGATCTTCCAAGGACTTCAAGCTGTGTCGGCTGGTGATACCTGGCAGCATGGCGCTGAGGTGTATCAGTGGCGACCGCGACGTGCTCAGCTGTTTGCGCGCAGGGAGGAGGTGCCGTTTGGCGCCGTGGTGGCGTCGACGTTTGCTGGACCGAGCAAGATTGATGCATCAGTATAGTTCTGAAGATGGAGCGGTGGCAGTTGGCGCCGGCGGCATCTGAGTGCACGCCGGACCGGTGAGACCCATGCCCGGCAGGCGTCCTGGATGGGTTCTCAGGTCTTTAGATGTTAGGTTTGGCTGCGATGTCTGTTTGGTTTTAGGCCCAGGCTATCTGCGCCCCTTCATCAGCTGGATAGAGGTGCTTAGACGGCAGCTTTAGTCTTACTGTTGTATTACTTTGTAAGGTCTTGTGAGAATAATTAATAAAGTGGCCGTATGCATCGCCCAGATGCAGAGGCCGGGGGTCATCCTCCTTTTCTAAAAAAAAAAACCAAATTAGTTGTTTTAGATTTGTCTAGACGTGGACGACTAATCCGGGATGGGGGGAGTACTAAACTGGAGATACTAATTCAGTGCGCGGTGTTTCAAAATTTGATTAAATAGACACGCTTTGTTTGACAAATGAGAAAAGAAAACCATGCTCCTTTAGAAAGTTGGAGATGGGGTGTCTACTGGGGTTTGGGAGGTCGGCCGATCTGTGAGAAGCTGCTGGCCCTGCTCCAGAGACCAGAGTGAGTGTGCAATAAACATGGGAGGAAGAAAACGAACAAACAAAGTTGATTACTCTCACCGATTGGAATTGGAATCGGAACAGAAAGACGCATTGGTTGATTGTGATCGTTGGAGTGGGCTAGAAGCCTAGAAGCAAAGCTAGAGGTGTCGGCATCGCACCAGAGCTCGGTCCCAACGTATGTATTCACAGGACTGAGACAGTTAATTTGGAAGCCTAGAAGCAAAGCTAGCTAGAGGTGTCGACATCGCTTGACAGGACTGAGCAGGATATGTAGGTTGGCATCCGTAGCAAGCTAGGAGGAGGACTTTGAAGCCTCCGCTTGGATTGTTACTGCCTAGCTGCTCTCTGCTGCCGGCGGGAGTCGAAACCGACTGGATTCACAATCTAGTCCTGTTCTAACTTCTAAGCCACTGAACTGAAGCAAGGCGAGCGTGACATGATGACAGGGCGCGCTCGCGCTCGCAAACCGAGTGGTTAATTGGCTCGTCACTGTCTATAGTACCCAGCCCTAGCCTCAACTGACCATACTGAAGAAAGAGAAGAGACACTGAGGAAGAAAAGAAGAGCTTCACACGAGGAACGGTCCAGATCTTGGATCGCGACTTAAGTGAAGATGGACGGCTCCGGTCACCTCGCCGTTACATTACCGCCAATTCACCCCTGATCACGGATCCTTTAAACACACAACAACCGACACGTAACCCACTGTCGGTTGGGAGAGTTGCAGCCTTGCAAGTGACTGTTTGCTATCGTATCCACTCCTTTGTTTTCTTTCAACATCGATCTTGTTTACTTTGTCTACTTTCGACATCTTTGTGCCCAAGGTGAGCCACGCTTCTCCGACGAGGCCAAAGATAAACTCGTGCATCTCCTCCGATCCTCGTGGAGACCTGCAGGCGATCGATGGAGGGTGCCGCAGCCGGAGAGCCGGCACCGGCGGGCGTGCATGCCGTGCCCTCCCGCAGGCTGATCGCCGGCTTCATCTCGGGCACGCTCAATGGCCTCTTCGCTCTCGGTAATTAATAATTAATCTATCGTCGGTCCTTCTTGCTGGGCACACTTGGTCATGCATAAATATGTTTTGAATCGATGCTTTGAAGCTGGTGCGCTAACCGGAGCAGTCACCGGCGCGCTGGCGGGCAGAGCCTCCGATAGCGGCGTTCTCCGGGGAGCTAGATCTGGAGCTATCACCAGGGCTGTCCTCTCCATCCTGGTTCTCCAGGCATCTCGCGCCTACTGGTGCTCGGACCGGCTCGGCGCGTCATCCATGTCCATGGTTAGTAACAGCTTCTTCTGTGCCTTTGTTGCTCTCAAAGTTCAGACTTCAGAGTATGTGTACGGTGTTTGGATGTGTGCCTAGAGGCTTTTTTCTTATGTGACAAAAAATATGTATTCGGGCCTAAGATTGTGTACTGTGGGCCCGAACCAATAGAGGCTTTCTCAATCGTCCTTGACTTAGATCATGTATGTATTGGGGCCCTATATGCCGGCGGACGCATCCGTGATCAATGATCGGACACACCTTTTTTGTCCCTGTCCACAATCACAACCTCCATATGTCTGAACACAAATCCATACGAAAACATGCATGCTACATAGATCATACATACAACTTATGGACACAATAATAGGGCATAGATGGGGCAATCCGACATGGATAATTTTATACTACTCGATCCAAAAGAGCCACCGGGGTTCATAGCTTAACTAAAATTCAGATTAAAAGGTAATTAAACATAGTGAGTGGACCGGAGTCCACCACTTCCTCGCACGGCCGGTTCCCCATGGGGTCTCGGGAGCGGGGTTGCCCTCGATGTAGGCGTTGGCGTTGGGCGGAGTGTCGTCATCCGTCATGCCACTATCCGAGGAGGAGGAGGAGGGACTGATGATCCTCGCCATGCGCCGGGCAGCTCGGGCATGCTCACTCGCAGGCCGTGCGCCTCTCTCCCTTTTTAATATGTTTTGAAAAGTGCGAATTAAGTTCGGTTTTTATATCTGTGCTTCTCGTGACGAGGGCTTTCAAATAAGATCCATTCTAAATATGTTTTCATGAGTTTGTTTTATTAAGTTTCAACTTCTAAAACTTAGTATGAGCAACTGACAATATCACAACTTTAGTATCTGCAACTAACAAAAATTTAAGCTGAAAGTTTCTACTCTGTTACTTGATACGAGCGACCGAGAAAATCGTAGTTTCTGAAGCAAAATCAAAGTTTTAAAGATTAAAACTTAAAAACATTTTATGACCTCGTGTAGATCCAACTACTTCGCGGATCATGAGGCAATTGGATGGCCGGACAGGGCTAGGCAGGTGTATGCTTCCGCATCTGCACGCCTCTATGAATTTCCAGTCTATTATATAGGACTTTACGACCGACTTACTAAACCGACCTAAAGAAAAAACATCTACCTAGCTTCCTCAAAGCACTATCACCTTGCAACGCATCTCTTACTTTTGCAGCTCATTAGATCTTCACACGTCTACTTATTACCTAGTAAGGCACGGAGGCATGCCCTGATCTTGTACTACCTTGCCGAGATGCTGATCGATCTGGATGCATGGCTAGATTATTACTAACAATGTTTGCATGAGAAAAAATAGACACCATTAATAAAATAATTGGATAATTTGTCTCTACAAAGGCGATTTAGAAAGATAAATCGAACAAGCAGCAAATGCATTCAACATTTATACCCAAAAAGTCACCCAAATATTCACCATCCAGTCAATCAACTAACACGCTTGCATGTTTTTGGATCCAAAAATACTTTTATCCTTTTTTCGCTGACCCTAAAAAATCTCAATTCACTAAGAAAGAAGAATAGAGTTGTCTGGTTAATATGCGAAAAATGGGAGTAAACCGTCACAACATGCTCGGAACGATATGGCACACCGACGGGCCTGGCTATCCACACAAATATACACACGCCGTGAAGGAGAAAAACCCACTCAGGTTGGCATCTGGTGCCATCGTCATCACTCATTCATGAGCCAGCGACTCCGACTCGACCACCAGCGTAGCCTTGCCACAAACAGGCGCCAAAATCCATGCCATCCTATGCCAAACAATCAAACCACCCGTGTCAACAACCAGTGAGCTCCCACTCTATCGAAAAGCATTGCAGGACAAAAGCCCCGAGACTACGCAGAGAAAGCATCAGAAGTGACCACCCATCTCGTGTCATCGTCGCCGTGAAGGCCCCTCCTCAGTAACTCCGACTTTAGAAAGACAATAGAGGCACGCTGGCACCTCGAACATGCTGGATGAACCGACAACCAAAACTCAGCCGCAACCAAACTCCACTCGAAGTAACCACCGTCGCCAAGCAAGACAGCATGGCACACTAATCCAGGGCCACCGCCCTAGCGTCCTCACAACAAGCTTCAACAGGTCCGGCAAACCAAAACCACTCCAAGACAACACCTTCAGGAAGAACTGCGAAGCAAAAGCACCACCCTATTCCAAGAAGGTGTGCGGTGCCCACATGGTTTGCCATCGTCGTTTCTG